TGTGACCCGTTGACCCGACGGGTCGGGTCGGGTCAACTGTTTAAAAGTTCGAGTCGGGTCGGGTTGAACCTCTGACCTGACCCGACCCGACTCGTTCGGAGCTCTAGGATCCTCCAGCATTATCAGGTGGTTGTAATGCCAAAAAAGACAGCAGTCTAAATGATTGTCTCTATCAATGTTTATATCATGCATATGGAACGTTTTCAAAACTCCCAAAAATTATCGAAAAGCCAGAAATTCTTAAGCAAGCTTTGGGTTTACAAAGGAATGAAGCAGTTCCAGTAGAACTTATTGAAAAAGTAGAAAAATTAGCTAAAACTATTGCTATTAATATAGTTGGAGATTTTACCCGAATTTCTAAAAATACCGCTCATCGACAAATTACTCTTACACTTGCTAATGGACATTATTCCATTATACCAAATCCAGATCGATTTAAAATTAATACTGCTACTGTTAAGCCAAAGAAGCATTTAATATATAAAGTTGATGGAATAAATAATATAGTAGAAATATTTAACGGAAAAGATGTGCAATCTATTACTAATATAGAATGGCAAAAGTTACAATCAAAATCTCTTTTTGGAAAATATTGTTACATTCCAGTTGCCAAAGATAAAAATTCCGGAATTTATGAATCATTGGATGAAGCTTATACAAGAATACATGAGGAACGAAATATTTTGCTAGAAGAATCTAAAAAAAATGGCTTATCAATTGATTTATTCATGTGTCATGGCAGTTATAAGAAAGTTGCATTATGGTTATTTGAAAGACTTAGCCAGGCAATTCAAGCCAATGAAGCATTAGATCCTATGGAAGCAATATGGATTTCTGACACAATGGTGGGTGGAATTATTTGGGCTCAAAATGATTGGAAAGGATATGGCCGGCAATATGATGAAACTAGCTTATATCCCAGTATTATGCAATCAGCAATTACATTTCCAATTAGAAAAGGAAAATTCCAAATACTTAAAGATTTCGTTAAAAAACATGAAAATGGTGATTATGCCATATATGGAATATATCGGGCAGAAGTTGAGTATAAAGAAGATATGAAAGTATTATTCTGATATAATAAATGTAACAAATATACTCATGTTGATTTAACCTATGCTAGAACATTGGGACTTCAAGTTAAATTAATTCAGGATAATTTACCAAATTTGTTAGTATATGAAAAGGAAACAAGAATTCCAGGAAAAATGATATTTGGAGAATATGTAAATTTCCTTTTCAAACTAAAAAATAAAGGGGGAATTATTGGACAAGTATCAAAAAGAGTTCTAAATACTTTGTGGGGAGCATTGTGCCAAAGAAATAAATCTTACTATGATGTTAGTGAAGGCATGGTAGATTTATTCAAAAACCCGGAAGGAGAAATTTTAGATAGTATAATTCCAGTAGGAGATAAACATTGGACTTTACAATTTTCAAACCCCGGAAATTTATTTAAAGGTGAGTATCCCCGAATTGCTCCATTTATTCTAGCACAGGGACGAAAAATAATATCTAGCCAAATTAAGCCTTATAAAGATATAGTAAGACGGGTTCATACAGATGGATTTATTCTAGAAGAAGATCCTACAAAGCCACCATCTATTAATTGTCTAGAAAATGCTTCAAAAATTTTAAAAACACTTAAATTTGAAAAAGAAAGCAAATGCCATGTTAAAAACGCTAATCAAGTTACGTGGTACGAATGTTAGAAATTTTTACATTACTGCGCCGTTATTAATTATTATCTATGTGTATGGCAACGTTCATTTGGACCAATGGTAAATTTGTTACACGATTTGATTTTACATATAATAACAGGCCCTTTATTTTTTCTATACCAATGTTCATGACATCCCTCTATTCGTCTACAATTTTTATTGCAAATAGAACCATTGAATTTAACATATGGGCATGAGTAGTAATTATATCATTCAATGAAAGGTCCTCTTCGATTGCGCCACCTGCTATTAATATTTCAAGATGTATTTCCCATCCTTCCGGTGTACTGCCCCAGGAGCCATCTTCGTCGGCAATAGCTTCATCAAGTAGTTCGAGATTTTTTAATCTTTTATTATATTAATCATTTTATGTATATTTATGCGCAATGTATATTCAATTTGTAGTCAAACCTTGTTATAACGAAATGCAACCAATTAAATACATCCTATAACGAACTTTTAAACATTTTGGCTCCGCATATAAAATCTGATTAGTAATGACGTCTAAAATCAGTTACAACGAGGGTCCGCTATAACGAGGGATAACGATAAAAATTTTTTTGTATGATCGTCCATAGAAATAATTAACGGTACACGCATTTTTATTATGATTGCCCATACGCGCATTTTTACACCTATTATTATGATTTCCCATACACCCAATATAAATACTAATATGTAATGATATTTTCTAGAATGTGTAGTATATAAAGAGGTTGGAAACATCGGAGAACTCCAAAAAAAAAATATATCAAAATTATTAAAAATAAAAAACGATTTTTAATCATATAAATTTTATCAAAAAAAATGATAAATAAAATCATCATAATATTAATATTAATAATAACGACCATAAGTGCGATACAATGAATCTAGGTACAACGTACATACAATGCATCCAGATACGTTGTAAATTTATTTTGAATTAAATTTTTTTATATATTCTATGGACAATCTTTGAATTAATATTAATAAAAAAATATACTACAAAATGTCAACTGATAAACAAACATGTGTTACCTGTGGGCATATAATTGCAAAACCTATAGGATATACTACAATTAATTTTCGACTTTGTGTAAATAAGATTAAGGATTTAGATCAACTTATTGAATCCAAAAAATATTTCTCACATTTCTTTGAATCCCGATATGATAGGATTCTTTCAAATAATTTCTCAGAAGCTTTTGAAAAAATGATAGAAAATCATAATCGATCATATGATATTGAATATATCAAATTATGGTTATTAGAGCTTATCAACAATTCATCTAGTTCCAGTAAGAAATACAATTCTATAAATTTCTGAAAAATGAATACTCTGATATAAACGAAACTTTTACTAACTTCTATAATAATTATATAAATAGTGTAGATAATCCTCTTAGCAAAAATCAAGTTTCAAGAGCATTTACAGCTTTAGGTTTAAAAACATTAATAGCAAGAGAAAAGCACAGGTCTTTAGTAATAGTTCGTGCATCAAAGAATGAATTATCAGAAATATTCCAAAAAAATGGAATTTGAGCCTTCAGAAATTTAATCTTTTAATTATTGGGAATCATTCAATTCTTTGATCCCAACATGATGTATTTTCCGATCTATATGGCCATTTGAAAGAAGCCAGGTAAGTATTTTACATCCTTCAATATATTTTTTCTCATCCAATGGCCTTGAATCCAAAAGATCTTTATAACAAAGAACATATGAATTTTTATCTGGATGGGATTTAGCAACTTGAGGTATAGAAATTTCATTATTCTGTAATAGTTTTACTCTCTCTTTGATTTTTTGAGCAAAATCGTGCCATCCAGCACCAAGTTCTTTATTTTTTATCCCAAAAGCTTCTTGATATACTAATCTAGCCCATATATCACTATTTTTAGCAATTACACCATTGGCCAATAATTTTTTACACTCAGGTGGTAAAGGAAAATTTCCAGCAAACTCTACAAGTCGATTTTCTTTTTTAGCTTGTGTTATTGCTTCTTTACCTGCAATGCTAAATTTATTCTGTGATAACTCATCTATAATATTAATTGATGAAGAATCAGAAATTTGAGTTTTTGATCCATCTGGGACTTCTAATGGTTTGTCCCATTGAACTCTGATTGATAGTGGATCATTCTTGGACCGTCTAAGATCAAACACAATAAATTCTTGTTTTGATGTTAGATCATCTATGATTGATGCTAGATGATCTGAGTGCTCTGTATATCGACTTATAATATTTTTGATATCAGATATGGATCCTCCTCCTCTATGAA